TTGCATGCGATGGCAATTGTCACGTCTCTCAAGATAGACAAAGTAAACCACTGGTATTACAACATCGCAATGGTCTACAGCTCGGTGCGGCCCGAGTCGAGGTCCATGACGGCGTTCGGGTTCGGGTGGTACGCCTCCGTCGAGATGGCCTTGCCGCCACCGGCCATCGTGAGCTTGTCCGACTGAATCGTGGTCGGCGCCGCCTGCGAGAGGTCGTCGACGACCTCGTTCGAGTATTTTTCCGTGACCATGTCGGTGAGGCGTCGATTTCCGATTTTTTTTGGCCAGCGCCACGACCGCGAGGTTGTTGGACGCGCGCCTGAGCTCCTCGTTGCCAGCGTCGAGCCGCTGCAGCAGAATGGACCGCGCCTCCTTGAACGCTGCCTCGGCCATCTACCGATACCATGGGGAGGAGGCGAGGCAACGATGGCTAGTACCTCGTAGGCGCCTTGGAGAAAATAGCCGCGGCCGAGACCTTCGATCGCATGGGCGACCGCCAGATGCTGTCGACCGTGCTTGGCGGACGTGGCTTCAATCACGTGCGTGTAGAGCGCATATGCCTCATCGAACCGTTTCTAGATTATGGATGAGCTGTCATCGCGTTAGGACGACGAGGGACCTGGGCGACATAGGTGGCCGCAACAGCTTGTTGGAGGCGCAATACCTTTTCGTGGTCGCTCGCGTATGTTGCCGCGTAGATGGCGAGGAGGTCGTGGAGGCATGCGTTGGCGAGTGCGTGCTGCGCTGACGACTGCAAGCAGAGACAGAGGTTCTCCAAGCACGTGACTTGGTCCATATTGGTGTGTGTATCTTGCTTGGTGGCCTCGAGGATCGCGCGCCGGTCCTTGGCCCGCGCCAGTTTGCCCATGGTGCGAGTTTGCCCTTTCCAAACGCCACAACAGTTTCACAGGACATTACTGTACATTTGAAGACATAGTTGACCACAATTCACTATCTCGTTGGATCACATCGAGTATAGCGTATAGCTTGAGCTTATTGCTTATTGATGCATATCTTGGTGCCGACCTGCAGAGTCTTCTTGGTCTTGACGTCGACGCAACTCTTCGGTATCCGGCGACCATCCGGATACGTAGCCCCGTTGGCACTTGCCACAATCAGCGATGGCAACGAGCAGCGTCTTCCTCGACCGCCGGTTCCTCGAGAAGAGCCGACGCAAGAAGCCCGGCAACGTCAAGGTCGCCGAGACGTACCTGCGCGACGACGTCCACTGCGCGCTGGCGCCCTGCCGCGTGTGCCAGCGCGCGGAGCTGATCCCACCGGCCGCGGTCGTGCGGGCTGCCGCGCCGTACATCCTCGTGCCGGACACGACGGCCTTGGCCATGTACCTCGACCTGCTCGAGCACGAGGCCTTTGGCGCCAACCAGCTGCTCTTGTTGCAGACCGTGCTGGAGCGGACGCTGGATGTGGCGTCGTCGCGCGAAGTCGGCCGCATCGAGGCGTGGCTCGACGAGACGTCCGACAAGGCGCAGCTGCACACGGTCGGGTACTTTCCAAACCGCCACGTTGCAGCGACCTTTGTGCCCACGCGCGTGCACGCTACACGCGGCGTCGTCGACCAAGAGAGCTTTGCGGACCGTGATCGCCGCGCGATTCTTCGAACGATGCAGTGGTACCTCTCGCACTCGATGAGCGCGTCGTTCATCGTCTTGTCCGAAGACCCTGCGCTACTGTCGGCGCTCACCTCGCTGCAGGCGCCGCGACTGCGCGTGCTCTCGTGCCGCGACTACATGGAGGCCTACTGCCCGTCGCCAGAGCTGCGCGCCCTCGCGTCCGAGCTCGCGCTGGCGTTCGAGAGCCGGCGCGGCAACAAGGCGAGCGAAGGTGCGTCGTACACCGACCTGTCGACGCTCCCGGCGGCCGCCTACCACGTCGGCCGGCTCCGCGTGAGTGCGCACCACCCGCTCGAAGCGTTTGTCAAATCGAAAGCGGGCGACGAGCTCTTTGTCTATGGCCGCGACGCCATGAACCGCGCGGTCCACGGGGACCTCGTGGCCGTCGAGTTGCTGCCCGAGGCCGACTGGCTCCAGCCCGAGTCCACGACGACGCTCGTGCATGTGGCGACCGACGACGTCAAGCGCCTCGCGCCGGCGGGTCGCGGCGTCCCAACCGCCCGCGTCATCAACGTCACCGAGCGCTCGTCGCAGCTGGTTGCACCGTCCTCCTTGCGCCGACCAGCTTAACGTTGTCATAGATCGTGGCGACCATTTTGTCCAACACGGTGGTGGCTGGTGACGACTATGTCATCGCCGTGCCGATGGACTTGCGGTACCCCAAAGTCCGTCTCCGCACGCTCAATGCGTCCGAGCTGGTGGACCACCGGCTCACGGTCATTTCTAAATGTGACATACCGATGCGATAGTCTAACGCCGGGATCCACTAGATTGCCATTGACGACTGGCCGCTCGACTCGTTCTACCCGTCGGGCCACTACGTCCAGGTCCTTGGGCCCGTGGGCGACCTCGAGACCGAGATCCGCGCGCTCCTTGTGCAGCACGCCACGCATGCCACGCGGTTCAGCGAGCGGGCGCTGGCCTGCTTGCCCGACGTCGCGGACGTCGACTGGGACGCATTGACCATCTGCGACACGTCCAAGCGACCCAAGGTGCCCCTCACGCGTGGTAGACGCTTCGTTTTTTTCGATTCAGAGGCCTGACGTTTGCTGCTGTAGAGTGGACGATCCCGTCCGAAGAAGTCGCGTCCCGGCGCGACTTGCGGCAGACGCACCGCGTCTTGAGCGTCGACCCGCCGGGATGCCAGGACATTGACGACGCCATGTCGATCCGCAAGCTACCCAACGGACACTACGAGCTCGGTGTGCACATTGCTGACGTCGGCCACTTTGTCACGCTCGACTCGGCGCTTGACAAGGACGCGCGGCACCGCGCGACGACCGTGTACCTCGTCGACCGGCGCTTCGACATGCTCCCCGTGCTCCTCAGCGGCGACCTCTGCTCGCTCCACGGCCACACCGACCGCCTTGCGTTCAGCGTGTTTTGGGAGCTTGACGCCGACCTCCAAGTGTTACCGAGTCGCACGACCTTTGCGAAGACGATCGTGCACAACGTCGCCGCCATGACGTACAATCAAGCCGACCGGCTCCTCTCGGACTTGCCGGCCAACGACCCGCTCGACACGAAAGTGGTCGGCGAAGGCACGGCGGGGCGGCCGATCGCGCCGAGTCTGCAGCCCGCTCTGCGGGACGATCTCAAACTTCTGCGTGCGATCGGACGCCGGCTCTATGCGCAGCGCGCGGCGACCGGTGCGGTCGACTTGACGCAGAGCAGCGAGCTCAAGTTTAAGATCACGGGCGAGTTTGACTGGCGCGTCGAGGTCAAGGAGAGCCTCGAGATCCACGGCACGATCGCCGAGCTCATGATCCTCGCCAACGCCACGGTCGCCTCGCGGCTTGTCGAGTGCTTTCCCAAGACGGCGCTGGTCCGTCGCCACGTGCCGCCGTCGGGCGACCGGTTCAAGTCACTTCTCGCGCTCGCAGCGACCCAGCAGCTGTCGTTGGATACGACGAGCAACATGACGCTGCAGGCCTCCCTCGAGGCGGTAGCGACCACCGTCGATGCCGATACGCTGGCGCTTCTCAAGTCGATGGCGACGCGCGCCATGTCGGAAGCCGAGTACATTGTCGCGTCCGAAGCCCTCGGCGGCTTTGCCCACTACGGCCTCGGTCTCTCCCACTATACGCATTTCACATCGCCGATTCGTCGGTACGCGGATCTCATCGTGCACCGGCAGCTCCTCGCGACGTTGGCACCGACGACGACAACGACAACGACCACCAAGCCGGCGCGCGCCGATGCGCCGCTGGTCTTGCCAGAGTCCTTGACGCCGTCCGTCTTGAACACGACGTACGTGGCGCCGACGCCGTTGCTGCCACCACTGCCACCTATGACGTCCGCACCGCAGCCTGTGACAATGACAATGACAGACCCAATGACGGCGACCGACTTGGTGCTGCAGAGCCAGCACATGAATGTGCAGAACCGCAATGCAAAGAACGTGGCGCGCGCGTGCGAAGAGCTCTTCCTCGCGCTCTACTTCCAGTCGCACACGACGACTGTGAACGCCGTCGTGACGCACCTCAAGCAGAACGGCCTCCTCGTCTTCATCCCGCAGTTTGACGTGCGCGGGCCCGTCTACCTCAAGGACCGCGACGGCGCCGTCCACGTCCACGCCTCCATGGTCCCGTCCGCTGGCACGTCGCCCGCGCGCTCTGGGTTTGACCCGTCGGCGCGGGAGCTCCCAAGCGCGACGCTGCGGCTCGTCGACGACGTTTCGCTGAGTGTGCAGTGGCGCGGCCGCGACGTTGTGACGTTTACGCCGCTCATGGAGATCCAAGTCACCGTCACGTGTGACTTTACGTCGGCGTCGGCGCGGCTGCCGGCGCTGCGGCTGTCGCTCGCCGCCGCCACCGCCGCCGCCTCGAACTCGACCCGGGATGTGGTTGCCGAGGCCGTCGCGGCCTTGCAGCAAGCCCCGGTTCTCGGTACGGAAGCGACGACCAACGACGTGTCAGCGCGACTCAACAAGCTCCGCGTCTCGCCCCGTGTTAGCTTGTACGAAGCCTTGTCGACGGCTCCCTCAATCGCGCCGAAAGCCAAGGTACTGACAACGACGACGCAGAAGAGCACCAAGGACAAGAAGGCGCCGGGCCGCCTCATTTTCAACGGGTTTGAACCGCCGGTGCCAAAGAAGTTCAACAAGCTGCTCACAGCCCACTACGAAGGCCGCAGCGCCGAGCTCGAGGCGGCGATGAACATTGAGCGGGGTGCGATCGTCGACGTGAGCGCCAACAGCGCCAAGCGCTACGAGATGGACGCGATCCGGCGCATGGAAAAGCTCCAGTCCGAGAAGCGCCACGACCGCATCAACAGCCGCAAAAAAGCCAATCACTAGTATCAAGTTGATACATAGTAGGATAGGGATACTTAAAGAGCACGAATTTCAAGCTTTTTAGAGTTCCGTCGACGCCGAGTTGGCCGGCGACTTGGGCGCAGCAACCGCGCTAAAGCCTTGGGGACCGGCGTCGCCGCGGGGCGTGAGGTCCTCGCCGAGCCCGCGCTTCTGCATCATCGAAACAAACTCCTCAAAGCTGATTTGGCCGTCGCCGTTCGAGTCGATCTCGCTCATGACCTCTTGCGCATGCTCCTCGCTGCCCATGAAGCGGATCAAGTCGTCCTTGGTGATCACGCCCTGCTTCTTCGTGTCAAAGTAGTTGAATGCTACGTCGACATCTCGGTATCGCCACTTCAATTCCCGAGATTTGTACCGTTCACAAGGTATTCTTCCTTGTTGAAATCGTTGCGCTTCATGGTCGCGGCCAAGAATTCATTGTAGTCCTACAAATCGGTCGTTCAATCACCAAATTCGTTGTGGAGCACCAGACAATATGTGTCGGACACGTACGAGGTTGCCGTCGCCATCAATGTCGAGGCCCTGGAGCAGCTGCAGCACTTCGCTCTCGAGCATGCCATGGCCCATGTCGCGCACGGCCGCGCCGAGCTCCTGCATCGTAATGACGCCGTTGCCGTCCGCGTCGATCATCGCAAATGTCTTCTTGAGCTCGTTGATTTCGGCACCCGTCATCTGGTCGGCAATGACGCCGAGCGCGACCTTCTTGAGCTTGTTGTGGCCTTGGAAACGCTTCAAGCTCGTCATGATGTTGGTGTTGAGCGACCGCTCGACGGCCGGCGCCGCGCCCATGAGCCACGGGTGCTGCAGCGCCTGCTCGGCCGTGAGGCGCTTGGACGCGTTGAGAAGCAAGAGGTGGTCGATGAGGTCCTTTGCCTCCTTGGAGACGCCGGCCCACTCGGGTGTGTCGTACGAGTACTTGCCCGAGCGCACGGACGCAAAGATCTCCGGGTCGCTGTCGCCGTAGAACGGAGGGTACCCGCAGAGCAAGATGTACATGATGACACCAATGCTCCAGAGATCGCACGACTTGTCGTAGTGACGGCCGAGCACCTCGGGCGCTATTCCATCCGACAGTTTAGCCGCGCGCATGCGAGCTTCGAGGTCGTACCAATGTAGTACGGCGTGCCGACACGCGTCGTCATGTACGCGTCACTGCCCGCCGCGTCCATGCGCGAGAGGCCAAAGTCAATGACCTTGAGCTCCGCGCTCTCTTCTTTCGTCTCGAACAAGAAGTTTTCGGGCTTGAGATCACTACATGACCATGAGACGCCAGGTTCGATGTTCGGTGCTGTACCGATGGCAGATATCGCGGTCGTGGCAGTGCTTGACCGCGTCGAGGATCTTGCGCACGAGCTTGGCCGCGTCGGCCTCGGTGTAGTGCCCGCGCGAGATGATACGATCAAAGAGCTCGCCGCCCGTACACAGCTCCGTGACGAGGTGCAAGTGGCGCGCGTCCTCAAAGACATCAAAGAGCTTGATGATGTTGGGGTGGCTGACCGACTAGATCAACACGAGACGTGAGCATTTCGTGGCCCGAAAAGAGTGGGGCGTACGCGAAGGATCTCGATCTCGCGCTTCAACGTCTCGGGGCGGCTGACCTTGACCTTGGGGATCGTCTTGATCGCGACGCGCGCACCCGTGACCTTGTGCGTACCGACGCGGACCGTGCCATAGTGACCATGGCCCAATTCCTTCTTCTCGACGTTGTAGACGGAAAAGACATCGCCGAGATGGCCCGTGATCTAGCAAGGCGTGGTCAGCGTACATCTGAGCCTCGCCTGGCACGTACGTTGTCCTTGCTCAAGACCGGCGCGGCGCTAGGCGCCTTCGTCGACACGGGCACGGCCGGCGGCATGGGCTTGGCGACCGCGGGCGCAGCCGGCGGCGTGTAACCCGGTGCAGCGCTGGGGCGCGGAGGCGTGCCCGGCGCGCTGTTGCGGCCCGACGAGCTGTTGCGCGCCGGCGGCGTCACGGGCGCGCCCGTCTTGCGCTCGCGCCGCTTGCCGCTGCCGCCCTTGGTGTTGGCATTCCCCATCTTCCTGCTGCTCGTGTATTGACTTGTGGACAATCCCTGCAAACCGCTCGGATCCGAGCAAAATTTAATTATTTTCGCCGTGTCAGGTATTATAATTGGATCGTATTTTAAACCATCTCGCCTCGCAGTACACTCGATCTTATATGTAATAAAATATGTTTTCAGGGCGACAATGCCCCATATTTTTATGCCGCTTGGTAACCAATTTAAAAAAGCCAACCTGCGATGTTGTGTGGGTTGTAGATTGTTTTGTAGGGGCCCCTACTTGGTGGAGGGGGTACCCGAGCATTGTGGCTTACAAATGCTTTGTGCACTTGGACTGCGATCGGCGACGAATCCAGAATGGGGCCCCCTCTTTTGGACCGCAGCTGGCCAGTCCACAGGCTCATCCTTGGTCCGAAGAGCGTTGGTGGACTTGGTCAAGCTATCGCGTGTTTGTAGTAGACAGCGAGTATCTGCTACGTTAGGGCTCTTGTCGAGTGTACACTGATCCGCTATTGCAGACTACAGTCAATTTTGTCTTAAGTTCCATTTTTGAGCTCAAAAAGGCTCCAAAAAGGCTCCAAAACGTCCTTTTTCGATCTCAAAACGTGAAGAAACAGCCGGTGCTGCCGGGTGCAAGCGACTGCACCATGGGCGAGGTTGATGCCAAGAGCTGGTTGGGCGCCGTCGTCAACGTAATGGCTCGCGCCACCGAGACGATGATACCACGTGATACGAACGGTCTTGAAAGATCGAAGCCGGGCTTCGTATCCGGAACCATCCGGATCAAATGCCATTCGCGTTTTGACTTCGCGGTGGCCAGGGACGAAGTGGCACGATGTCGGTCTCGGAGCGCGAGCAGCTGAGCTCGGCGTACGACATGGCGATCGAAGCCAGCACGGGCGGCCGCGGTGCGCCGGCGGAAGAGGTCTACTACGGCTTTGGCGTCTTTATGGGCATCTCGGTGAAGAAGCTCAAGGAGCTTCGCGAAGAGATGCAGAAGCGCAACAACTCGTCGCGCTTCGAGACGTTCCATGGCGACGGCAACGAAGCCGGTCACGACAATGAAGAGACCGAGGACGACGAAGACATGTACGAGGCCGAGCCGCCCAGGGCCAAGACGCCGCCACGTGTCGAGAAGAAGGCCATCGAACGTCGGACGAGCGAGCGCCGCGCAGCCAAGAAAGATGCAGCGCGCCCCGTTGCGAACGCACGCGAGATTGCGGCCCCCGCGCCCATCACGACGGCGGCGATGCCCGTCTACAGCGCGCCACCGCCGCAACAACATCAACAACAACCGCCGCCACCCAAGCCTATGCATATGCCGGTGTACGGGATGTCATCGCACACACCGTCGGCCGCGCCGTCGCTGACCACTCCGATCGAGAAGACGCCGTACACGATGGACCACATGCCGCAGTCGTCGCAGATGCCCCCGCCGATGAACCCATCCGCGCCGTACCCCGGTGCACAGCATGGTATGCACGCGCCGCCGTCGTATCAATCCTCCAACGGGTACGCCCCGCCCCCGCACGCGATGATGCAGCAGACGCCGCAGCACCCGTCGATGCAGTATGCGCCACCACCGCAGCAGCAGCAGCAGCAGCAGCACGTGCAGTACATGCAGCAGCAGCAACAGCCGCCACCGCCGCAGTACGGTGCGCCGTACCACCAGTCGTACCAGCAGCCGCCGCCACAACAGCAACCGCCGCCCGCGCCCGTGTACAGTCAGATGCCACCGGCGCCGTCGATGCACGACCGCCAGGGACCACCGCAACTGCAACACATGCAGCATCACCACCAGGGGTATGGCAACCCGCCGCCGATGCAGTCGCAGTCACCGTACCAGCAAACGGGGTACCAGCACAGCCAGGCGCCGGCGTATGCCCCACCGCCGATGAATGCCCCGGGGCACGAAGCACAGCAGCCGTACGCCAACCAAATCCCGTCGCCAGCCCCGCAAGGCGGACTCGGGCGACTGCTGCCGCCGCCGCCGTCGCAGGGCATTCCGTCGCTGAGCGGGTTTGGTGCCAAGCCGCTGCCGTCGCTCGGCTTTTCGTCAGCGCAACCGCCGTACGCGCCATCGAACGCACCGCAGCAGGGCTACTACAACCAGCCGCCGCAGCAGCAGCAACCGCCGCAGTCGTACCAGCAGCAGTCGTATCAGCCACCGCCGTCGCACCATCAACAACAGCAGCAACACCCGCAGTACGCGCAGCACCAAACCAACTACCCGCCCCACCAATACGCGCCGCCACCGCACCAAATGCAGCAACCGCCGCAGCAAGCGCCCGGCGCGCTGCCGTCTGTCGCCGACCTCTCGAAACGATCGTCCATGAGCTTTATTTTAGACTAACTCGTTGTCGTGGTCGAGCACTAACTACTACTATGTTTACAGTACTAGATTTGACTTATTGCATTGGTTGTTAGCGACCTCTGATGGCGACGCAGCTCACAAAAGCGGGTCTTTGCTTCAACCACCGTTCAGACACCCCGAGACACTCGCCTTGGTCGACGCGCGAAGTCGATTGCGCTCGCTGCGCCACTGCCGCCTCTTTGAAATCCAACTCTCGCAGGCCCGACCGCATTTGCTACTAACCTTCGATCTGGCGCCTTAGTACGAGAGCCAAGGCGCAAGATCAAAGGTTATTGCCCGCTAGCTCCACGGAGCCATCGTCGTCCTCAGCTTCGTCGCGACGAGGTGTCAATGGTGGAATTGCAAGCGGCACCGTCAATGCACACGCCGCCATCAACGGACTGCAGAGACTCAATTCGTTGTCCGCAGACGAGACCTGGCGCTGTCGTGCTATTGCAGCGCAAAGGGTAGCCGATACAAACTTCAAGTCGCCACCGGGTTTGGACGCCATTAAAGTCGCGGTGAAATCAAAGACATCTTGTCTTCCTCGTCGAGGCGCTGCTCATGGGCTTGCACTTTCCAACTTGCTTTGTCCCGACATTTCGATGGTGCGCAAGCACGGGCGCAAGAAGCAACAGCCCCGCGAAGCGGGCGATTCCGGATGGCCGCTCCGAGAAGGGCCGTTCCGAGAAGGGCCAGCTGACCCCGAACGGCAACGAGAAAACCAAATCCGACATTGCGATGTCAACGAGCCCGACGTCGACCAGCACCCCAACGGCCTCCACGACCTCGTCACCGCCCACTGCCTCGTCGCCGGTCTTCAGCGTCATGGACGGTGCCATTACGCGCCAAGGGCTCGAGGCGGCGGCCAGAGTCTACCTCTCGCAAGACGAAGACGCGCCGGAGCTTCTCATTGCGCGCAACGTGCCTCTCGTGCACTGGCTCACGCACGGCTTGGACAACCGTCTCTTCAATGTCATTTGGAGCTGCCGGTTTCACGGCGACGCGGCTGATCCGGCGACGCTGGCGTCCGTCTACATTGTCCGCGCGACTGGAAAGCCGAACCAAGCTGGAGTCCAAAACCTCAACAACTTGCTCACTCCCCAGCAAGGAAACCATTTGATCGTCTATACGGGCTTTGATCTGAAGCTGCTGGGACAGACGCGGCTGCCCGATTTGGCCGTCTTCCAGAAGTTTCGCGACAGCCAGAACATCAGACTGTGCATGGTCGTGGAGGTTGAGCTCAAGAACCGCAGCTTTCCGCGCATGCTCCGGTGGCTTCGCGGGTACTTTCGACTGATTCCATCTCTTCGCACCGCGGTCGGGATCAAGATCTTCGGCCCGCAGCGTGGCAACGCGCGTCAGTTTGGCACCATCGCTGTCATGCTCCACCGTGCGGTTGGGCATACGGCGCAGCTTGCGTACGTAGCCAGCATTGGCACGGCGCCACTGACGGACCAAGCGATGGCCACCGTCGTTGGCGTGATTGGACAAGACGCCGCGAATGCGATGCCGCACTTTGACGTCAACATTGCGCACGAGATCGCGCTGGGGCACGAAGAGTGGCAGCTCGATGCGATAGGCCGCCCGGTGCTGCACATTACGATCGCGGATTTGCTCTACTTGGACAATGCCAACCTCCTCGCTGGCGCGCCGCCAACGACCGAGCGCCTCGAGATCGATCTCTACAAGCTCATCTTCAAAGTGCACGAGGCCATGGGACAAGTCGTGATTACTGATGACGTTCAGCTGGCGGGGGAATCCGCGAATGAAGACCAAGGCGCAGAGGACAAACGCATGGTGTCGATGAAGACCCGAGTGCAGTTTTAACGACTCTGATCGAATCAAGGTTGTGTTTGCATGCGACAGCCATTGCCATGACTGTGCTTCCTGTTGTTCTAGTCGGCCCTCTAGTCCAAACTACATGATGTTGTCCGACTTTCTCTTTTATTTGTGAATTCTCGGTTGAGGGACGTGGTCGAGGCGGGTAGAAGCGCGTGATAAGGGGCCGGTCACTTGTGTGGACCAAGAAACGGAGCGAGATTGCGCTAACGCAGCACTTGGACGAGGCTGTGGTGCAGGAATCGGCGACGAGCGCATGGAGTTTGACCAGTGCTACGACGAGACAGCGACGCAGCACGAGCTCTTCCGGCGCGAGATGGCCGGCGCGATCCCGCTCGCCTTTGACGGCAAGAGCACGACGCTCATCGCGTACGGTCCAAGCAAGAGCGGCAAGACGTTTACGGTTGACGGATCGACGACGAGCGCGGGCCTCGTACCCCGCACGATGCAGCGCTTGCTCCAGTTCCAGCACGCATCAGCGCCCCTGCATACGATCCAGCTGAGCGTCCTCGAGATCCACCGCAACAAAGTCTTCGATCTTCTCGATACGAATAGCGATCGAACCGACCTCCCGATCCGGCAGTCGGCGACAGGCAGCGTTGTCGTTCCCGGTCTCGCCCGGCTGCCGATCACGACGCTCGCGCAGTTTACTAGGCTCTACGAACAGGCGAGCTGCGCCCAAAGCTGCGAAAGCCACAAAGTCGTCACGTTCTCGGTGCAAACGACCGGCGTCGACGGCGAACCGAAGACCGGGACCATCCATCTCGTGGACTTGGCCCGCGTCGACGAGTCGCATCGACGGAGCCTGCAGCCTCGGTCCAGCGACAGCAGCAGCAACGCGATGACGTTCTTCGTCCTCGGCAAAGTTCTCAGTGCGATCAACGAAGGCAAGTCGCTGGCGCACATGCCGTTCCGCGATAGCAAGCTCACGCGCCTTTTGCACGACGGACTCTGCCGCGATGTGCATGCAGCGACGCTGATCTGCACCGTCTCGACGGCCAACGTCGACGACGCCTTGCACGCACTGCAATACGCAGCCAAGGTCCGTCTCCCAACGACGTACCGAAGCCCGATGCGAATGGCGTCCGAGACGTCGCCACCCCCCGAACCGACGCCAACGCTCAGCTCCCTCGAAGAGCGCCTGGAAGCGTGGCGTCAGAGTTAACACACAAAGACGCCCGAGACGACAAAGCGTCCGCGGGCAGTAAGCCTTGCATCGGACGAGCCAGTGAAAAAGCCAAAGCTCGAGTCGCCACCCAAGACGCCAGTCACTCTCAAGGCGGCGCCAACGGGCACACCCAAGACACCGAGCCGGATTCCGATGCGGCGGGAGAACATTGTTCCGCTAACGACCGCGCGCAAGCCGCTGAGGTAAGCAAAATGGCCCCTCGGACTGTAGTTTGACTCTACGTAGCAACCTCACCAACCTCCCACCGACCATCACGCCGACCAAGGATGCGTACCAGACCCCCGAGAAGGTCAGCAAACCTAGGTACGATCAAGATCTGATATTAAGCTAAGGAGGTTGTAGTGCTGTTGATACCATTCGCAAGCTTTTGCACTTGGCCATGGCGTTTGAGAAGCGCGATCGGCTGGCCGCGGCCCTCGCCGTGTACAACTGCACGAATCGCCTTCTTCCAGCAACCAACACCAAGCTCAAAGCGCGTATTCACCGCCTCACAACCGAGCTGATGAGTGCGCATCACATGGTGGTGGATCTCAAAGCACCGATCGAGACGACGCTGCAAGTACGTTGCGCCAAACATTGCGGCTTGTTGATTTCTTTCTCTTGACTGCGACGATACCTCGTTTCACGCACATCAGCCATTGGGATAGGGATACTCTGCATGTTGTATACTCTGTTCTATCCTCGGTGCACCTCTATCTCGACGGTCAAACATTGCAGATAGATAGATGTATAGGTATGTAGATGGATCGGACTGCATCAACACCCCAGATATATATATATATATAGATAGATAGATAGATAGATAGATAGATAGATAGATAGATAGATAGATAGATAGATAGATAGATAGATAGATAGATAGATAGATAGATAGATA